AATTGAACTCAGGGTTCAATGATGGCTTCTAAGAAATTATCTAAAGAACATATATGAGAAGGTCTTTTAAGTAATATAGAGTATTATTTTTATTTCCCGTGTACATTATATAACTTCTTGGTACAATGTTTTTCAGGAGGAGAATGATCCCATCAGGACACGGGACGAGATTACAGCAATGATCTCACAACATATCAAAGCCATCAATAATATCTACGGCAATGTAAAATTTGAAGGAAAATACAAGCACAGGAACATACGATTTGAAGTGCAGAGAATCAAGGTAAGGAGTGTAAGAAAGTGTTTTTACAGCGGTGCTTGACTATGCTTGAAGACATGCTTGGAGTGGATGACTGAAACCATTTGCCCAATGTAATTTCAATTACTTGTTTCCTTATTTCAAAGCTTTTTTGTCATAACTGTGAGATTGCTCTTGAAAGGAAAAATAAGAATAAGAAGGGTGAAAAAGTGCTTAGGTGGCTACAAGCAGATAATCTGCTTGATAACTTTTATCCAGGGAAATCTTAAATGTTTGCATTTCTTTACTTTTCCTTTTAGTAAAATTGATGGAGTCAGTACATGTATATTAGGAATACCTACCACCCTTAAAAGAAAATAGATGGTTATTAGTTTCAACTTTTTAAAAATTTCATAACTAGATGATGCATTTTGTTTATTTTAAACTTTTTTTTTTACCCAGCTTAGTACAGCTCCTATACCATTGACATGATTTTTGAGAAGTTATGGTTATACTATTACTTTAAGATTATTTCTAAAAAGATGCAAAATTCAATGAGTTAATCATTTCTTATAAAATGGATTAAACTCCTGATTTACTTTCTTTCAAGATTGATAATGACGAGCCTTGCCGTCCCAACTGGACAGGAGAACCAAACAAATTCTGTAAAGCCAATGTGGATGTGAGCAACTTCCTGAACCTACATTCCCAAAAGAAGCATGATGACTTCTGTCTTGCTTACGTGTTCACATTTAGGGATTTCACAGGTGGTACCCTTGGCTTAGCCTGGGTTGCTTCTCCATCAGGTATGTTGTCCCTGTGCAAGTGTATATTAGCATTGTGAAATCATGAGTTTGAAATCCATAAAAGACAAGTATAGTTTACTGTATGTATTATTTTGATATGTATCATTTTTTATGATTTGTGCCAAGAAAATGCTTCTTAATTTGTTGTTAATTATTTGAACAGGTGCCTCTGGTGGTATTTGTGAAAAGTACAAGACCTATACAGAGAACCTGGGAGGTTTCCGTCACTCTGAAAAGAGATCCCTCAACACTGGTATAATCACATTCCTCAACTACAACTCTCGAGTTCCTCCAAAGGTCTCACAACTAACATTGGCTCACGAGATTGGTCATAATTTTGGCTCACCACACGACTTTCCTGAGACGTGTAAGCCTGGAGGTCTGCTGGGGAACTACATTATGTTCTCCTCTGCTACCAGTGGAGATCGGCCAAATAATGACAAGTTTTCTCAGTGCTCCATTCGTAATATATCACTGGTTCTTGATGCCATATCGGAAAAGAGAAGAACAAATTGTTTCTCAACCAACAATGGTGCCTTCTGCGGAAATAAGATCGTTGAAGAAGGGGAAGAATGTGACTGTGGTTATGATGATGAGGAATGTGAAGAAAAGTGTTGTTATCCACTCAAGATTTCTCAGAATGATAAGATGCAGAATTCATCTGCAAGAGAGTGTAGACGCAGAAAGAACACACAGTGCAGGTATAGTGCAATCTGTAGATTTGTTTATTATGTTTCAGCTATACACATGTAGGTGTTAACAAAGATTATAGATATCTTATTTTTACATTGAAATTGATGCTTACACTAATAAGAAACTTTGGTTACTGTTTTTAAATGATTTATATAAATATAAAGAGCACAACCTCATAGCTTCACTGATACTTTTTTCTATATGATTTGTTTCTATTATTACATGAGTATTTAAAACCAGTTATTACCAAAATTCTCATACTTGTAGTTGAATATGATGATTAGACAATAAGTTGGTGAAACAAGATAGAATTACCATATGGGATTTCATTCACTTTAGTTTTCTGTAGTTTATACTTGAATGTGAGAAATTGTTCTATAGGGGTCACTGTGGTCCATTTGTAACATGCATAGCGTAGGACAAGTAAAGTCTCAAAGCAAAGTGATCATGAACCCTGCTGTGGATCAGGATTAGGAATGGTCTTGGTCCCTAGTTGCCTCAGAAAGAAAAAATCCTGTTGACAGTTGAGTGTCCTAGCATTTTAAAGTAAAGGAATTCAACATTTAACTGCAATGATAAGTGTCATGTCAGAAAAGAAGCTTGTGATATTTAAGTTATGAAAATGAAATAGGTATATTTATCAGCATTGTTCATCTTTTATCAAACATTAATATAAATCTTGATCTTCAGTTCATTCCTTAGTTAATGTTAAACTAATTTTATTTTCCTTCCAGTCCAAGTGAAGGCCCTTGCTGTAGCAGAGATCGCTGTGCGTATGTGACACATAATGCCCGAGTTCAGTGCCATTCTGAAACAGACTGTGAGGAGTCAGTGTATTGCAATGGTCGCATGGCACAGTGCCCATCCCCCAGGAAGAAGCGAGATCACAAGCAATGCAATGAAGGCACAAAGGTAGAACAAAATGACTTCATCCTTGTAAAATGATTGTTGAAATTTGGTATTAATTGTATTGAGAACCACATTTATTTATTTATTTTTATTTTATTATAGATTTTTGAAGTCTGTTTATAGTTATAAAGAGAGATAAAGAGTATAGTAAAATAAGAATTGGATTGGCTTTATCAATTTTTACTGGAGAGCATCCCAAGACCAGCTTATAATTTTATGTATGCACAAAAGAATTGTTATGAAGTATAGTTCACTCTTATTAATTTTTTTCATTTTCATCCTCCAGGTCTGCATAAAAGGAAAATGTAGTGGATCCATATGTCTTGCACACAAGTTGATGGAGTGCTTCCTCACATCAGACCGTGTGAAAGACAAAAAGAAGCTGTGTGAAATTGCCTGTCAAGAAGGCAATGACACTTCCACTTGTAAATCTACTTCAGAACTAAAGCATATCTTTGGTGAACCTGTATTTATGAGACCTGGAGCTCCATGTAATAACTTCCAGGTGAGAAGATCTTTGCTGTCAGTATTGTGAATTTTATATGATTCTAGGAGTGTTTTATACTTAGATATTTATGAAGATAAACAAAAATTATGCAAATAGGATCAATTCAGCAATGAAAAAGATGTCTCACTCCAGTGTCAAATGTTTTGCTTCTAGGGTTATTGCGATGTCTTCCAAAAATGTCGTGCAGTGGATGCTGAGGGACCGCTTGCAAGACTCAAGAACCTGCTCTTCAATCAGGACACGCTTAACAGTGTTGCTGAGTGGATCACAGTAAGAGCATTACCTCTTCTTGGCTGTAGTTACTTTCTTGATCATTCCATTGTATTTCCTTTGAAAAAAATGTGTTTTTGGAATGACAGTGATCTATACTGCAGTATTTTTCTCTTTAAGAGGGAATAATTTCCCAAAAGATTTCTGATAAAGGGTTAACACTTCTCATATGATTTAGAACAAATAGGAAACTGCTGTTCCCATATGAAAAAATGGATCATCATGTATTTTTATTACACAGCAATACTGGTATGGTGTGATGATGCTTGGTGTTGGCTTTGTGGTCTTCATGGGCATTTTCATCAAGTGCTGCGCCGTGCACACCCCATCCAGCAACCCTCGCAAACCTCCAGCACGATCCATCACAGAAACCCTACGTAGACCTGTCAGCACTCTCAGAAGAGTCAAAGTAAGAGGATCAAGGATCAGCTAAGGCTACTATCAACTTGATCATCATCATTTGGAAAATATTCTTAATATGAAATTGGTCAAAGTAAGGTTTAGTCAGGTAGTGAAAGTCACCTCAGACTGTTCTTTGAAACTTCCCTCGTTTTCTTTGCCCAGCGACATCGCCAAGGCCCGAGCCCAAACGCCCAGGGTGCCCCGGGCCCCAGTCACCATCATCACCACCACCTTCATCACCACAACCAGCCTGGACCATCTCGCCATAGTGGGGGGGCAGCTGCAGCAGTGCCCGAACGACCAAAGGGAGGAGCCAAGAGGTCTAGTCGGGCATACAGTGATGATCCACCGCCACCTTACCCTGGGAATCCCAGACCTCTAAGCTCTTCTAATCCAGGAAATTCTGTCACACCAGTCAATCGTAGTGGCCCTACCCGTCATGGCTATGGTGAGGGCCGGGGACACTATAACAGACCCAAAGGTTAGTGAAGGAGGTTCTGGTTAGTATTCTTTCAGTGATAAAACAATAAGGAATTGGAAGATAAATGTGCATTCCAGGTTTCCATAAACTTCTTGTTTGCTTATTTTTTATGCTTTGTATGTTTGTTTGTTAGCATTTAGAGAGATATTATGGATACTGGAATGCATAAGTAAGCTTTAAAACTATTGGTAGTTAATTAGTTTGCATGCTATGCATCCAATAATTGTACTGCATAGAAGTGTTTAAATGATTTCAGTTGCAGAGTTCATTAATCTTGAATGCTTTAGTGATGGAATAGGAAGAGGTGACTTGTGCATGTAGAAGATGGTGGGCATGCTGGATTATAATAATAGTCAGAATTTAAACGAAGGATGTAGGTTTTGGTTGTTTGGTTGTTTATTTTGCATGTTGCCTTGTAAAATTTTGTTATGTTAACCATTGGCATGTGATATATGGTATTACTTTTTTAATAATTGGGAACAATATGATAGGATTGTTTATTTATAAGTACATTTTTACTCCATCTTAGGGCTAAGATGCTTGAAAAAATGGCATTTTTCTTAAAGTACAGTACCATTATCACTTGCCATAATTTTTATGCATGGATGCAATTTTGGATTTTTAACAGACAAATTTCTTGGATTTTGAAGTTTTTTTTTTGTTTGTTTGTTTGCAAATGGTCAGATGCAGTTTGATGTAAGTATCTTTAAGAGGATTCTTTACTTTTAGAATTAATTTCTTTTTCCTACATTAATTCTGAAATTTTATGATATTAACCTGTATGACAGTTGATTTGCAAAAGGAGTTTTTAGAAATTTAGGTTGTTACTTGGTATTTTTTGCCATTTGAGATTTGATTTGAATTTTTAGGTATTTGAATTAGGTAGTAGGAATATTACGAAAAAGAAAAAGAAGTAAAATAATGCAGCCTTTGACACTATGATTAAATAATGATGTGTTTTATTTTTTTTCTATTTATAAGGTATACTAAAATGTTTCTACTTACCTTTTATTAACATCCATTTCCATTTCATATAAGTGTGTATAAATCACCCACAAAACAGTGGTGTTCCCAGCTCCTTCTCGAGTGATTAATAATTTCCAGTTTACTGACAAAAGTGTCTGTCAGGCCTAAAAGTTTGATTAAATTTTCACCTCATTTATACCATCATCCTTGAGTGGTAACTCTCCATGACATGGCAAATATATTTTTATATATTTTTATATGTTTATCCTAAAGTGATGTGTAGAATTATCTTATAACTATTGGTTGTTTAGGTTGACTAAAGAATTACTTTTGAAATAATAAAGTATCTCACTTTTGAATTAAAAGTTTTGTTATCACTTATCATGCTCAGTTACTTTTTTGACTACTTAGAAAGGTGGAAATCGGTCCAAGATTACTGTTGTAAGATACTGAGGAATGGCTATATAAGAAGGCAATTATAAGAAAATGTATAGGACTAAGAAACAAAAAGTATTATTGGTTCATTGTCTCTGTTGTTTATATTATTTCTTGAAATTTACTTCTTTGTTTAAAAAGATATGTAATGATTTTGCAAAAAAAAAAAAAAAAAATCCCGTCACTAAGCCAACTCTGATTCTGTAAACTTAGCTGAGGCTTTGAATCCATAATTTGATATATACTTTGCATAAGAGATACTTGTGCTCACATTCAACTCTTTGTTTTCTCTAAATATAAAGAGTGAAGAGCAAAACTTTTTAGCTTTGGTACAGATAAATTGAGAGTTATTCAAGATTTTGTGGTGATTGTATAATAAGTTGTATGTCATGAAATTTACAAGTTGACCTAGTTGTGCCTTATTCCAGAAAGTTGGTGCGTATAACAGCAGGAAAGTTATAAGACTTTAAACTGTGTTCTCCAAAAGGTATAGAACAAGGATAAGGCCTGCTTTAAATGTTTCTTCTGTAAATACAGGCAAAAAAAATAGCAGGACACTGGCACAGCCTGTCAAATTTGTATAGATACAGAATATCTCACCAGGAAAGAAGTGCACATAATGAAATCACTTTCCTAGAATATTTGTGTGCATGGGCTTAATACCTTTCCAGTATTTGTTATTTAATACTGCACTTCTCATTGTTTCTTATGTAAGCTTAGGTTGATTTTACTCCACAGATCAATCATATGTCAGCAGTGGTTTTTAGGTGTACTAGATCTGACCCACTGCATCTTGAAAATTGAAGAGACAGAAAAAAATTATAGAGTACTTATTTTAACCCTTTCTGTCTGTATGACTGGTTATCTGTATTATTGTTACTGTTCAAGATGTTAGACATCTGATAATCAAACCCCCTACCCTCCCTATGAAAGTAAGATTGATAATGTTTTTTACCACTAAAGCTCCCTGCATGTAAAGTACCTGTTACTTGTTAATGCTATTATGCTTCAGTTTTGCATGCATGGCTGCCTCGTATGAATATGAGTCAGCTCAAAACTTCAGGAATGAGAGAAATTCCTTGAGGATTGGGCTATTTCAGTTAAGTCTTGGAGAGTACTGTATATTATGACCTTTATGGAGAATTGTTACAGAGGCCAAATGAGCAGTATATGAGAAGACAGCAGTTCAAACCATGGCTGTTATTTTTATCAGCATTTAGTAATGAGAATTGAGAAGTATATTATTAGTTTTTTGCATTTCAAGTATACAGACATTTTCTAAAAACAAGTAGAGGATCGACCACATAAGGATTGGAAATGCATGTTTAGTGAGCATGTCGTGTCATGCCCACATCTTAAAAACCTTCACCAAGGTTCAATAAATGGAAACTTGAACTTTTTGGATGATGGACCTTGTAGAAGGCAGAGGGCAATCAAATCAGCAGAGA